TATATATATATATATATGGGATTCTTAATGACACGACCAAGATCTCTCTGTTTCCTCAACAGTAAACTCATCCCATATCCTTACCAATCTATTGCAGCTGAATTACCAACTATAAAACAGTGGCGGTGATAAGATGCTTGGATAGTTGGAGTCAATTTCAATTTCCTGAAAGATTTGGTCTCCATTTCGAATATAGGTAATTAAATGGAGCAATCTATGGCGATCTAATTCAGCTCAAGGTTAATATACTTCCATAATTATTACCTACTCTGTTACTTGCACATAAATAAGTAAGATTAAGAAATAAGTAACGTGGACTTAATTGCTCACCATCACACTTGGTTTCACAGGCTTCTTTTGTTTTGAAGTTATTGGCATTGCCTCGGCAGCCGCCATAATTGAATTCAACACACTGTGCCATCGAAGCATCGTAGGACCACCGTTTCATATATACCCTACAAGGACCGACCTCCTGTGGGAGTCCACATACTGGATCCATTGCGTCATTAACATTTGCTGGTTCGCCTATTGGATAGTTTGCTGCGGAAAGAAGTCAGAAGTCAGGAAAGGAGGATGAAGTCTGAAATGAGGAAAAGGAAGTGAAACCTACCCAGACATCTCTGTTCACACTCAGTTTTGGTTCTGAAGTTATTGGCATTTCCACCACAGCCTCCGTAGTGAAATTGGATGCATTTGCTTGAATCGGCGTGGAATCCCCATCTTCGCATGTCCGCTTCACAGCTTCCACTTTCGTGTGGTAAATAACAAATTGAGGTATCACCGGACACCACTTCCGAGAAGAAGACTGGAGGAGATTGTGGAAAGGCTGAAGCTAAATTATATACATAAAATAAAAACATTAAAGCATTGTTTTCTACGAATCTTAGAATTTCACCTTTAATAACAAAAATTTCAATAAAATAGACATTTATAAAAGCATCCCTAATAATTCCCATATTCTGGGAATCAGAAGAGGAGAATTTTGTTTTTTAGCTCAATTTCCTGTTTCCTGATAAAGAAAATTTTGCATTTTGTAACGTAATGTGAATTTTGTTTTCAATCGGCTACACTCACATTCATTTTGTTAAGTATTCTGGCGTTACGCGGAAAATTAAAATTTTCTGAGGAATTAAGTTAGTTCAATCGCGTTTTAAAATAGCACATTTTTAAGAAAACAAAGAGGCATAGATACTATACGACAATATTTCCTCATATTTCCTTAAAGCAGAGAATAAATAAGTTAAATAACTGTTAGCACTTGCCAAAAATAGTTATAAAACGCCGAAACCGTGAAGAAAGATTAGGCGTCTCAGCCAACCAATCACAAATCGAAATTCATGAAAGAATTACAGAAATAAGCAAATATCACTTTCATCTCCTCTCATTAGATCTGTGCTCCCTTTCGGTCATGCTGAAACTTAAGTCGTTAATAAACCGCTATACGATATTTGTCAAAATGTCGTATTTGAAGTAAAGCAAGAACTTCAAAATCTTTATTTGTCTTAAGTAACTGACACTGAAGATGTGGTAATTCTGACAAATTTTAGTGTAGAAGGGTTCGAAGCGATATTAAGAGCAACTTCAAGGTAACGATAAGTATCACTTCTTTGGATTTTTTGCACTCGATTTCAACACCACTTACTAAATGAGTAAATCACACCCCAAGGTTCAAATTTCTCCACTTCTTGCCTGTGATGTTGATGATTTCTAATTGATCTGTTCAACTAAATCAAGAAGGAAGGGCTTTGCAACTTTAATCTATAGTTTTGTCTTTCAGTGGTTGAGATGGTAAATAATCTTGTATAGTATCTTGTTTAAGCATAGTAGAAACGATATGGGTGGAAGTTTCGAGTTAAGATCAATCCATTTGGCCATTACTAAGAAGTTTCCAGTGGGTGTTTGAACACCCTAGATCTCAAAATCCTTGGATGAAATAACTTCCTTTCTCCCCAGTGCATTTATAGTGCCCCTCTCTCTTTGGTCAAACTTACAGGCCTTGCACTTGGCTTCACAAGCCTCCTTAGACTGGAATTGGTTTGCATTGCCTCTGCATCCACCATAGTAGAATTCTAGGCATTGGGCACTCGAAGTGTCATAGTACCATCGTTGAAGCCTCCCTCTGCAAGGACCAACTTCCATAGGTAGCCTACAGTGTGGATGAGCAGAGTCATTCACATCAGTTGGGGCATTGTGTGGAATATTGGCTATAACGAAAACAAAGGCAATCAGTATCACTCAGTTAAATTGCATTACTTCAATATTTACCAATAAATGTACCCAGACATCTTTGTTCACAAACGTCTCGTGTCTCGAAGTTGTTATCGTTTCCTGCACACCCACTATAGATGAATTGGACACATCTTCCAGCGAATGCATCGAAGCCCCAGCGCTGCAGAGAGGCTCCACAGTTACCTCGTTCACGTGGCAAGTGGCACATAGACGCATCTGTTAGGTCGACGTCATCGTCGTCTTCAAGTGAAGGGTCGTCTTCATAGGCACCTAAATAACCATAATCGTAAATTTGCTGAATTCGTTTATTGACACGTCATGACGACAAAGTATGATAAAAACCATGTAAAATTGATACTGAATCAATTAAATATTGAAAAATAAGTCTGAAAAAGGAAATATAATAAGTCAATCCCCATTTGCGATGAAAATTACACTATTTAGAAGGTAGCATAAGAGGTAATAGGAGCCACTTTTTCGACCAAAAAAGTAGAAGGCATTTACAAGAAAAAGATTGTGAATTGGAAGAGACCTTCTGTTAGTCTTAAAGCACATTCCACAATGATCAGCCAAATGAAAAAATAATATTAATGCTAAGGGAATTAAATATACGAAAAATCCAGCGAATTTGGTCAAGTTTTCACCAATACACAGTTATAAAAGTGCCAGATATCTCACTCTTATTACTGATTACAAATATAACGAATGATAGATGATATTAGGAAGACAAAAGAACGCCGAATCGTTTTTAAATTGCCTCATAATTACCCCTGAGTTCTTACTTATGGCTGATTTTCATGCTTACCATGAAGGATGAGTTCTGCAGTGAAAGTGGTACCTCTAAACGATTTCCACTCCTACCAACGGCTTTACTGAACATAATCTTACTAAATTAACAATTGATATAACTATTGGTAAGTATTGCAACATAATAAAAATATATTCCAATTCTTAATTGAATTTTTAAGTGAGTGTAGTTTACAGCCATACGATTTTGAAATGAACTTTCAAAGTGATTGATCTTAACATATAATAAAGGAACAATGATATGTCTTGCCTACTTCGACATAAATTAGATAATGACAATCAGCAAAATGCTTCAAGATTTATAAAATTTGCCAACTTTTGTCATTTTGGAGAAATATGAGTTTTATTGGGAGTAAATAGAGCTGTTGATTAATTTTACAGAAGGGTCAACAGAATTATCTTACATTGTTGATCGCAAATAAGTTTCGACACATCTCATTTGTTTATGCTTATACAGAGTTCATTACATTAATTGAGCTGTTTTCCTTTCCGAATTACCAACTATAAATATGTTCAAAACAAATCTTAAGTTTCTTTTCTTCTTAAGAATCCTTGAAACTAGAAGTTGCAGTTATTCAAGCAACTAAAGATGACCCTGTGCACGACGAAGGAAAGCATCCTTTCTTCGTTTTCCCAATTGGGTATTTAAACTGCGTACTTTTTCAAAATAATGAATTACTGAAACTTACTACAGACGTTCTCGCATTCGTCTTCAGTTTCAAAGTTATTGTCATTTCCTTGACATCCACCATAAATGAAATCAGTGCATTTTCCGCTAGCAACATCGAAGTACCATCGCTTCAGCATCGACCGACATGGGCCAACTTCTCTAGGTAGCCCACAGATTGGATTGTGAGCAGCGATTGCATCAGCAGGTTGAGAGTTGGATATTTTGGCTAAAATGTAACCCCACCGTTTTCAATGAGCGGATGTCTTTCTTATTATGCGTGATTACATGTTTCTAAATAGCTTACTACTACAGTACTTTTCACAGGCCTCATTCGATTCGAAGTTATTTTCATTTCCCCCGCAGCCACCATAGGCGAATTCGACGCATTTTCCGCTTTCGCCATCGAAACCCCATCTTCGAATAAAGGCATAACAATTACCGTGCTCGAGTTGCAAATTACAAAATGATGGGCTAATATTGTCGTCATTTTCGCTAAGACTTGCATCTGAAGGTACTGCTTTTGGAGGTGAAACACCTAAATGGAAATAAATGTTCAATCCTTAAGTAGGACGACCAATTGAAAGAGCCCAGTTATCAACCACGGAAGTATGTCGTATATTCGCATTAACAATCAAAGTTTACAAATAATGTATTCGTAATTTTTTTGTAGTGTAAGGGAGCGTAAATAAGTCAGCGGATAGTATGTGATCAATGACTTACTATTTACTTAGGAAAGTAAAAATAAACACAAGTTAAATAAATTTTACGATATTTCGTTTCGCAACGTTTTCTTCAATTTTAGTAACTGGCAAACACCCGTTTATATAGAGAATTAGGAAGCCTTTCGCCAGGAATAGGGCGTTTACGTCTCACCAAATTTACAGAATATCTCGAGCAAATGGAATGTTCTAGAAGAGTATATTTTTGAGACATTCGAAAAGGCAACACTTTGGCGGCGTAATTAAAAGTGAATCATTCCACGACACAATCTTCAGCCAATCAATTTACGCAACTGAAACTGTCAAAACAGAAATATGCTTCAAGTAGCAGCAATTTGTAAAATTTGAACTTGATTGGTAGTGATCTCTGGCAAAATCCGGTCCATTGTAATGGCTTTGATCTTTGATAATAATGTTGCTAAAAGCCGTTTCATATTTGATCTTTAAAGTGCATGCAAGTTCAAATCCCACGAGTTAGAACTTGTCTGTGTATAAGTTAATAACTTCTCTGAGTCTCAAATAAAACCACATGTGCTCCCTTCTCATATTACTATTGACTGAAATAGTTAGAAATTAGTTAAGTTGAGTTTAATTAACAGAGCCCAAGTGTTTTAGTAGATGCCTAAAATCGTAATCTGATTGGTCAGTCTAACCGATCACTCTTACAGTACTGTCAACAATTAAATCACGTCAATTTTCTTTGCTAATTAAAAATGAAGGAAGAAAAGGTGTTCTTAATTACTTTAGTGCTATGAATAATTAAGCCATTTAAATCTCTATCAACATTCTGTGGTTTAGGCTCTCATGCAACCACCCGCTGTTCCTTTAAAATTGCCATGTAACATATAATTCTGCAAATTATTCAAAATAGATGAATGAATCCAGTTTATAAATAAATTCATATTTAAATGCAATAATTCCCATCGTATCTGCTACTAATAGGATTCATATATGTGGTTTTGTATCAAAATATTTTCAGCAAAACATGTAGACCCATTAGAATCAGAATACTCACTGGCTACGCATCTGTCCTCACAAATCTCTTTCGATTCAAAGTTATTGGCGTTTCCTTTGCAGCCACCATAATTAAACTGTACACACTCTCCTTTGGACATATCGAAGGACCAACGCGTTACTGATGCTTTGCAAGGACCGATGTCTTGAAGGAGTTTGCAAGCAGGATCCAGAGCTTTGTTTATATCAGTCAGCGCGGTAGTTGAAATAGCGGCTGAAAACAAAAAAAACAGGTAAAAACAAACTTAAAATCCTGGGAAAAGAAAAAATGCTAAGATCAGCTGAGCTCATTTGCCTAAACAACGTTCTTCACAAGCCTCAATAGTCTCAAAATTATCATCGCCACTACATCGGCGACAGATAAACTGGACGAATTGGCCAGTATTCGGGTCGAATTCCTAGGGATGAAGGAATGCCATGCAATTTTCTTGCATCCGCGGTCAATGATATTTATGAATCGAAATTTTCTCACTTTGTTCGTGAAGAACTTGCACCAGTTGGAGCTACCAGAAAATAAGATTTAAACGTAATTCGATCAGTGATAATGTCACGGTTCTCTTTCCTGCAAACGGATTTTGAGTGCTAAATATGAACTAAAATATAAAAGGTAGGATTTCAAGACTACTTTGTTGGTAAGTAAGTGCATTTTAAGGGTCTAAATATTCTTGCGGTTCCAAATGACGACAATAGAAAGCCGTGCCGGAGTAAGACTAGATCTAAATTTCTAATTTAATACGTAAATGCTATATGATAAATTTTTAGCCTGCTATTGAAGGCACTAAAAAAATTAATTTCCATATTGATAACGGTGTTTGTTTAAATTAATACAGAAATTGAATCGTTAAACCCTCATAAGTTTCAGGGTAAGGTCTAATACAAACTACCTTTGCTTCACTGGTGGTAATTATAAAACGGGTATATTCAATTTGAATAGTGGCTATATCTTCAAATAAAATGATTTGGGAATTCGGAATTTATTGTAGGCGAGTTTCTGTTCTCGCTAAATAGGTATTTATTGAAAGTGGCCAAACTTACTGCTTTATAATGATTAATATCACAACTACTAATATAATTAGTTAATACAAAGACTTTCAGAATTCGTAGTGTTCCGTCAACGAATTATGATTAATCACTCCGAAGTTTTGTTTCGATAAATTAATTACACACAAAATTCGTCTTTTTAGTTTCATAAATGTCTCACTTTACATGTTAGACAACAATTCAGCCATACTACTAGTATCCTCTTATTTTATACATTAGCGAAAAATCGAGAGTATTTTAATGGTAAAAATTTATCGAGTAGAATCTACTTTTTTAAGCATTACTTTTCTGGAATAGTGAGTTTTTTTCCCACATAGAGAATGACTTTCAAATTCACTCTGCCAGTCTAGCTTTTTTTAAAAAACGAGGCGGTTTATGATTGTGGTTTTTCAAAGAATAAATTTCAAGCGTTAGACCTAACGATGTTAATTTCAGACGATGTGGTCAATCCTCTTCGTGGAGATAGCGCGGTTTCCTTTTAATTTTTAATTAACTTTAACTTAATTTGAAGTTCCGATATGTCGTTCCCGCTCGTTAATAGCATTCTTAATTTATAAATCGGAAAAACGGGCCAAGTAAAATAATTTATACATTCTTTTCTTATTCGAACTTAATTTAATTATCTTTCACATATACAGTAGAATTAACAATTTCATATTCTTGAAAATACGTTGTGCAATAAATTACACAATATAATAAACAGGTTTTAAGTCTTGTGAATTTTATAAATAAATATAGAGGCGCATGATAGATTTATCTCCACGTGGGCACCATGGGCAACATATACTCATGCGGTAAAGGTTATAAACCGGTAGTTGACTTCTGACTTCAAATTACCATCACCCAAATGTATCTCATAATCAACCACTTCACAGTACTCACCCTATCTTAGCTTCCCCTCTACCTTTGTGTCTGTCTCTCTTATATCTGTAAATCACTCTTCTGTTCACCCCCCCCCCTCGACTTTTTGTGAATTTGATGTTCCACCCCTCTGTGAAGCCCGAAGTCAACTTAATCGCCAACGATAACTATCATAAAGCCTACAGTTGGATATAAATGAAAAAATAAATTTACCGTGCACAATAAGTACATTTTTGCCTTACTAAAGCTGTAACTTGAGGCATAACATATAAGGTAACTTGCTATCTCAACCACTGAAAGGCAAAACTATGGATTAAAGTCACAAAACCATTCCTTCTCGATTTAGTTGAACAGATCAATTAGAAATCATCAATATCACAGGCAAGAAGTGGAGAAATTTGAACTTTGGAGTGTGATTTACTCATTTAGTAAGTGGTGTTGAAATCGAGTTTCACTTTGACCCCTTGTCCATTACAGTTTGTTAGGACTATCACAACTTCGATGTCACCTACATAAAACAATTAAAGGTTCAAATGTTTTTTCTTTACCCCACATAGAGCCTTTTGAAAATAATGCCACAAGGGTAGGGAAACAATAAAAATGCATATACTTGAAGGTTTTAGTCCTAGTAATTGGTGGTTCTAACTAGTTTACCTTTGAGGATCTTACCACCACACTTGGCCTCACAAACCTCCTTAGAGTGAAAGTTGTTGTCATTGCCTCGACAACCACCGTAGGAAAATTCGATACAACGTCCCTGAGATGCGTCGAAAGCCCATCTTGGAACTAAAGCCCGGCATGGACCGACATCGGGTGGCAGTCTGCAAACTAGGTCCAGGACATTGTTTGACTGAGCAGGTTTAGCACTCTGTAGGGCAGCTAAGAATAAAGAAACGCCTTCAACTACCTAAAATTCACTATTTAATTAGGTATAGATAGTACGTTCCAGGTTATCCCAGCATTGTTCTTCGTAGTCCCCTTCATTTTCAAGGTTAATTTCGTTTACACCACAGCCACTGCATGCGAATTGAAAGCATCTTTCATTTACAGGATCAAAAGCCCATCGAAGAGCACAAAGTTGATGTCAAATAACTCAATTATAGAACCGATTCCTCCTCTATCAAAATCTAGTAATTGTCAACCTTTTTTTAGAGTTTTTTTATAACCAAAATTTATTTATTTATTTATATCAAATGGCAGGCGTCTTGATGGTTATCACTAGCCCTTTAGTTGACTTCAGGCCTCGCAGAGGGGAAGAAACATCAAATTGAAAAAGTCGAGAGGGGGGGGGGGA